CTATGACACTTTCCTCAAGTTTGTCATTTGCATATGTAACTAGAAGAGTTCTACTACAATGCACCAAAACCTGGAGTTATTTGAAGTTATTTTACCAAAAAAAATAATTGATTTTACCACCCGGTCTAAGTTACCCCAAGAGCTGGGGTAACAAAGACCATCACTTTTTTTGAAATTACAAAAAGACTATGAGAGGCAGGAGCCAGCAATTTATGGTGAGTGAAGCTAGAGTATAGACCTGTATTTTGCAGGTTTCAATTCAAGTTTAATTTAGCTAGTAAGAAAATGGCATCATTTATAAGAAAAAAAGTGGTCTAAGTTACCCCATTTTACGGTAGTTAACTTGATTAGTCGTTGGCAACACGGGATTGGATTTCAAACCACGCGTGATTTTCAAATAGCTCAGTTCGTCAATTTTCATTGCAGTGGAAAGTGGTGTAACGCGGTGGTAGGGTTGGTATTTCGATACGTTTTCTTATATTGACATGAGAATATATTACCTATACAGAATTACACACACATTTAAAGTCACTTTAAATCTTGAGTAAATGAAGAAATTAAAAATGAACTGATTCTAAAAAGCTCTGGTTTGCCACTATGCTATAAATATATCAATAAAGATAATTTCAATTATTTCATAATAAAAATGTTTAAAATTCTAAAAAGGAAAATTTCACCATAGCTATTTTTCAGAAAAATCATTTCCTGAATATGAACTTATTCAGATATATTGAAAAATAATTTTTAAATTATATTCTCAACTATTATTTGACTAATACCTATTAGTTATTATCCTAGGTAGTTCAGTTGAGTTAGGTACAAATTATTTCACTAAAAATTACTATGACAGCCCAAAACAGGGACAAAGTACTGAAAGTAGAATAAAAACGAAAAATTCTGAGTGACCTTACTATATGGCAAAAAAAAAACATTCAACAGAATGATAAATATTAATTTTGGGGGCTGAAATCTAAACCAAACGACGTTCAAACTATGAAACTACTCTCTTAGTCTCTGGTGGTTTGTCATTAAGGCCTACCTACACGAATAGAATCGTCATTCGCAAATAAACAGGTACGATAAAAGTGTTAAAAAAAAACTTCTTTTTTAACATCACACAGCTGTACATAAACACATAGCTTAAAACATCTAGCAAAAAAATACAAAAAATTGTCGTATGCCAGTTTGAAAGAAATAAAAATTCACCAGATACGAAACAGCAACCTTCCAGTTCCACTGCTCACAGCTGAGCTCAGTTTAGGCCACTGCGCCTGCGCAAAGACAAATACCCGGATGTAACAAATGACGAGCGTATTGCACTTTCTATTAATATAATAATATATAAATAAGATTTTTATGCCATTGATAATGCAATTTATATGGTTTAAAAATTAATAAAGATGAAAGTTCAATCCAAAAAGTGAATATCATTATTACAACCTTTTTGCGTAGTTAATCATCTTGTTTTTATGATCAAATACTGTTCATCAACATTTTTTAAATGTTTCATATTGAAAAATCCATTTTTCAATTTACACGATTCATAATTAGGAATAAAAAACACAATTTATCGATTTCTCATGTCGCAATATTATTTTGTTACGTTTTCAATTGCTCATTTTAAAATGCTCATGATATTTTTAATTTAGTGCAAACTATATATCAATAAGTAGGCATAACCAGTTTGGTATCTAGAGCAATACAGTGGGAAATCCGAGGAATTCTGTGATAGCAGCCGCACGTAGATTAGTAGTGAATTCAGATACTGTTGTTAAAAATAAGCTTGCTCATACGTATTCTAACTTCCCCAGGTAGGTAGTAGAGGTATAGTATAGCATCTTCGGCGCTCGCTGACAAATAGGCTTAGTTAGGCCTGTCACCGATTCTTGCACTATTCGTGCCTTGTCCACAGTTAATCTATCACACACACAGTAAATCCCGCATCTGATCCCAATTAAGTATAGTTGATAATAATCAATCTAATCTGTTGATATTATCTAGCTCATGCGAGACTACAGTTCATAGGATTACAGTCAATGGTGATATTAAGAATCGGCGACAGGCCCACGGCTTATTCAACGCTGACACCGCTGCTATGTAATACACCATCCCTCATTATATCGTTGACGCTCAGAGTATGAACGCGTTCAGGAACAAACTATATGAAGCTATAGAGAAGTATATGTTCAGGCTTGAAATGCCTTTCATCCTACGGAACTGATAGAAGTCTAGTAACAATTTCAAACTATCGTCAGTTTTGAAAAGATCCGGTCAAATACCTGTTTTTAGATCGCTTGTGACCCAAGTCACAAAAAGTACAGAAATCGGCGCCAGGCCACATCTTTTAGTGTGTTAGTGTTATCTTTAGTGCCGATAACACTGATTTGTTGCGATAGACCTTCCCCAAAAATTATAGAATTTGTACTGACAGGCAACAAAAACCTTTCCTCACTAGATATTCTTTTGAGCAATTTACTACTTCGTCTGAAGAACTAAGCCACCAATAGAAGTTGCCATTGAAGCTCATAATTCTGTTTGCACTAGTGTCATTCAACCCTCATATTAGATGCATAATTTGAAATGGAATTAAATTCGTATTTGATGGGTTTTAAGAGCTAGTTGGATGGAAACATGCAGCTTTAATAGTATTTTAAGCTTTAGGACTCAACTATCAAATATGTGGATGTATCATTCCTACGAAACGTGGATGTTAATCAAAACTTCGTTGCTACAATCCTTAAAAAGTTAAAGCGTTAAAAAAAAATCCTTAAAAAGTTAAAAGCGTTCATTTTAGAGGCAAGGACCTCCTAAATTAACAGTCATATAACATGAGCTTAATAGCATCTATGTGTCTAGATATTTTTCGTCTCATTCCTTCATAGATTTCCCTTGAGGGAGAACACATACAAAAAGGGTAAGTTTCCAACTGTTGATTTTGAAAGTAATCATATTTTCTACGCATAACATCACGATATAATAGAACAATAATGAAGACAAAGTTGAATATTAACATCATACAGAAGAAAAATTCAACGTTAACATGATCTACAATTGAATAATTTGATAGGCTAGATAGTTCTTATCCAAACATCAATGTTCTACGATGACGAATTAACAAGCTGCAATACTATCACCAGCAACAATAATGTGGAAAGTTTTAATGTCTAGGTCAAAATAAACAAATTGTTCCCTCTCACATCATAAAGTGAAAATGTTCCTTGAAGACCGAATTGCGATTGAAAAACTGGGCTAGGTAGGCAAAATGTAGAGGCTAAATAATCACGTCTCGCATCTTAGAAAACAGTGCAGAAATTCACTATTCGGAGGTCACTAAACGATTTTAGGAGCTACACAAGTAAATACATCTGGATTTTAAATAGATAAAAATGCATAACAATTTATAGAGCGGCGAGATGATGAAATAAAGCAGAAAAAGATGAATTCGCATCAATTCAGCTCTTAAATTCCTCTACGTTTGAACACAATCTAATGTTTAGAGGAAGATAAATAGCTACCAAATAAACTTCATTTATCATTATCACTACGAACAAAAGCGTCGTTTTAAGCCTATAAGTAAATAATATTGATAAATAATCTCTTATATACAACCGGAATAGTTTAAATAGAACCAAAATAAGAGTAGCTGACTACAAAATTTCGAGATCGCAGTGCCGCACCTCAGGATGGGCTTTCTGGAAGGAAAAATGTATCGTTACAAATATTTAGATAAATGGAGATTGTTGTTCATTGTTCCAATGATTTTTCGTTAGATGGAAAGGAAAAACACTCGAGTTTCTATGTGGATTTATTACACTTGGTGATTAAAGCAGCTTTCCAATATATAAATAATATAGCGGTTTCAGCGTTTATTAGGCCATAGGCCTATCGCTTTAACTTTACAGAACATCCACAGCATGTTGTGGGCTTGAACTCGCAACTCATTGCTTCAATTTTGCTTTGCTTAACCGCCCGGCCTCCTCGCCGATTCTGACCAGAAACTGGCGCACAGAGCTGGGATCGAACCAGAACCTCTCTGCTCCAATCTTGGAACTCTGAACTTTAACCACTGGGAACCCTTACTAATCCTGCCCTACTAATAAGACTAATACTGAGCAAAGAGATAAAATTCTACTTGGAATATTTCGCCTTTGCAGGCGAAAAATACTCATGACAGATTACTGTACAAAATTCATCAAATGAAATATGAAAAATTAAAATATTCTGTTAATCAGCTGAGAGAAAATTTACGCATGAATCGCAGCAAGTAAACAAACTATAAAAAGGATAAGCAATGCCATAGTAGCTTACCTTAAGACTTTGCTCTATCCTGTCAATCTCAGCACCCAGTGTATCCACGACGTTCTCCCCGAAGTTCAGAAGAAATGTCCGCTTTTCTTCAGGCGTGCTGCAACTGTCCAACTCCTGACCACAGCCGTAACGCATTAGAAACAATTCTTATAATTTACACAAAACACTATTCAAGTCAGATATACAAGATCCTGTCATTTTGATAATTATTTTAGAAAATAGATAAAAAGAAAATTGTATCATCCTCAATTGCAATCAATTTTTTAATGAGGGAGTCAAACACATTCGTCTGACACTTTCATTTCAGGAGTACATTCGGAGTGGATCATCAAGGGCTCTGTGAAGAGATTCTTATCAACGCCAGCAGTGAATTGTCAAAATTATATTCCCAACCAACCATCATCAAGGTCTCAAAGGACTGCTTCTCAATGAAGGCTCTGGTGAGCTCACGACCATCGAAGTCGACCTCTGCCTTGTAGCGCACCAGGCCCGTGCCCATGTCGATGCCTTTGACGTCGTGCAGCGCCCGCACCATCACGTCCTGCTCCATGATCCTGTTCATGTGCAGCAGCTCTCGCTGAGGAATTGACCTGGACAAACAGAGCAATAAATCGCTGTTCTTCACCACGAATTTTTAGAGTACACAATTTGAAGGAATAATAAACATTATCAACAACTTAGTTGATACTAGACCATTAACGATCATGTTTTATAAATAAAATTATATATTTTTAACCGTAGGGAAGATTTAAAAGTCTATTTCTAAATTATAAATTGTTATTGGAAATATTTTAGTAAAATATTTATGAAACGTGGACTTACTGTCAAGCTTCTCGAATGCCAAACTTAACTACTTATATACCACAAAATGAAATAATACTCCGAGATCTTAGAGAATGCGTAAACTAAATTGCATTTGGAAGAAAAACAACAGGAATAATGAATTTTCCTTTCATACATGCACATATTAGGCTCATATTTTCATTCACGTATCAAAATATGTGAATATCCAACCATGCTACTTAATGACAAAAACCAACATACCTGCCAACTAGTGGGCCGATGTTGCTGCGAATGATGAAGGCCGCGACGAGGCCCAAGAGGCCACCGATGATGCAGGAACCGAAGGCGTCAGGTGTGGTGGTGCCGAGCACGGAGGTGAGTGAGAGGCAGGTCAGCGCCACGCCCACGCCCACCACGGCTGCCGTGTCCTCCATCAGCACCACGTTCACGCTCGGGTCCTCGCCATTCAGAACTGTCCGCACAACATTTTGTTGTACAATTTCATTTAAACAATAGTAAGATAAGAATGAAAATAAGTGTTTTCCACGTGAACATGAAACGAAACACGGCATGACACAAAGACATAATATTCATAGAAAAATGAGGAGGGTTCCCTCATTCAAGGACTCAGTGGTGAGGTCTCACCGTAATCTTTGAAGGACATATTTTGCTGACGAGCTCCTTTCCTTATAGCGTGTACGGCCATTATGAGAGTTCCGCCTTCAGTCACGAGCGACCCACCCAGGATGCAAAAGGCCCAGTACAGAGGTACCACCTTAAAAACACAACCAAAACAATGCATTGGCTGGGCTAAACTGTAGTGCTGACAGAGAACAATGTGCAGAATAGAGCAGTTCCGTCTAGTCATTCAAGTTACTTCTGATGTTTGTATTCTAATAGAAAAACTCACAAGGTTTTTATTTATATTATGATGCAATAAATTGTTTCAGCATATACAAACGCTCTGTCTACAATATCAGAAGTGGTGGTCATACTTCAGGGGGACTCATGAGGCCCGCGATGCCGTGATAGACGGACACCCCCGCACCCAGGCAGAAGATCATGGCGCCTGAGATGAGAGATGACACGTAGGGCATGTTGCTGAAGCCGTACGGATGCTCAGGGTTGGCTCGCTGGAAAACCATTTAGTATTTCATTCATTATAATTTATTCATAATCAGATAATTGATTCAACATTAATACATTTAATGATCATTCTGCAAATACATTCTGCAATGACATTTCTACATATTCCAAAGTGAGTATGGGCAATCGTGAAGACCATTCATCAAATAATTATGAGAAGGTCCCGTGGGGCACTTTATAAATTTGATAGCCAATAATTCATAATGACGTCAATTTTTGTAGAAAAAGTAATGCAAATGGACAATGGGAAAGAAAATTATTGAAAAGAAATTGGAGTAGCAGTAAAAGTATTTATGCGCACCTGCATGCTCTTGTGTATGCCGTAGGCCAGGATCAGCTGGTTGGAGGTGTCCGCAAAAGAGTGCAGCGCCTCGGCAAAGAGACACGCCGACCCCGTGTACATCCACGCCCCGAACTTGAGGAGGCAGTTGATGCCGTTGCTGAAGGACCACAAAGACTTATTATGTAGCAGGTATATGGCACTTGTAGCTTAAATTGAATATATCATACCTCTATAAAGCAATATATATATGTTGTGTAGAGGGCTCAATTTAATAAGCACAGAGTTTCAAACATGTTCAGTGCTGAGGCAGATGTCACTGTAATGAGTTCATCTCACCTGGAGCACGAGACCACATACCGTACGCCTTCAATTCTATTTTAACTCATTAGAAATTTAATATCATTAATATGTGTTATTTTCCATATTCTGATAATTAAATATTCAGTTAAATCACCATTCATATTCTTCATTGCTCTCAAGAGTAAAGGAGGAGGTCAAGTGGAAATAATGGATATGGAAAATAATAATAAATGAATATAGAAAATGTTATTTTCAATATTCTGATAATTAAATATTCAGTTAAATCACCATTCTTATTCTTCTATTGCTCTCAAGAGTTAAGGTTTAATTTCATTAAACCTTTTAGACCGGCCGAGCATTCTCTGCCAAAACAGTTTTCAAACGTTTGCAAACAAGAACCGAGCAGTTGGCTCGCGAACCCTGTTCACAAACGTTGGCGCCCGTTCCGCTATTGATGGCCATGCAACCGCTTATAGCAATTATTGTCCGTTGCATATCTATTGTAAACAGAATATCAAGAGAGGATTGAATGGATAGATTATTGTAGTTTCCATCAACCTCTTATCCATTTAATATTTTAATCAGTTCAAATGAACATTCTGGTATATACCAATGCCCATAAGTGGCAATTTTTCATTATTTCTATGGTTGATTCATTAATTTATCAAGGTTAATGGCTGATTGACCATTGTACTTTTAATTTATATACGGTTATCACTGTTTAGTATATAGGTTACATGCTTATTCCATCATATAAAATAGAACGTAAGTACAAGCGCCATGGCAGCAGAGACATAATTTCTTCTTTTCAGAAACGAAGATTCCCATATATTGCACCTCCTCAAAGAATCGACAGTCCTCAATTTCTAATAGAATCACCATCGACGAAGCATGAAGTTAGTTAGTTAGTTTAGTGGCCACATGTTTAGTAGCGCTTCAGCCATTTAGCTATCTCGCACCGAAAGTCATGTTGAACATCACCAAAGAGGTGGAAGGTCTCAATTATCAAGTTTCTAAAATCAAAAATTGCTCATCACCCACAAGGGGTGGAATGTCTCAGATGTCAAGCCCGCTGAAATTGGCTCGAAAGAAGCCGCGAAGCATGAAAAAAAAAGAGTTTTGAGAACGTGGGTGTCATGCTGGGACCTGCATTAAGTACCTAAGATAAACTGGACGTGGATACGTACCTACAGGCTACGGTGCATTCTGCACGTTTAAGAGTGCCTTTCAATTTTTGAACGCTCCGGTTCCATGCCTTACAGTGAAAGTTTGCCAACAATACTAGGCTAATTTAAATATTACTACGAAATTGAATGGAAAAAATGATATTTAATCAAATTTTATCGAGGAAATCGAATGGCAATTATCTATGTAGACTTAAAGCCTCCGAATTGAATTTTAAGTTTAGTTTTTGTTCATAGGTTTTTTAGCGGAAATATTTTACGATGAAGAACATTAGATAGTTCAGTAGCTGAACCTATTTCATGAACTAAGACCGACTATATTAGAAAGAAAGACCTTGATTTTTACTTCCTTCTAACAATTTCAAATTCAAGTAATATGACTTCTGTTGATTAGACAGGCAGTTTTTATACACAATAGAATAGGTAACCTCCACCATTTAATGTACACTAACCACGATAACAATCGCATAGGAGCAAGGATATTCTGTCTAGTGTAGAGTTCAATACATAGTGGAAAAGATATCATAATAATATGCGTTTAAAAATTACTTTTTACATTCAACACTTCTATAGAATCCAGTGTCTCCAATGTTACACATGTACAATTAATTTCTAAGTTTATTATCAAATATTACAAAAATTAATTTTTAAATTTTATTTTTAAAATTAAAAAATATCAAATTTTTCAAAATTATTTATTCTGTCAATTGATTCATGCATTGTCTCCGACTTTACACAAGTGTGTAAAATTTCAGATCGATTGGACAGGTAGAAGTGTGTTGAATATCGATTATCCGATTTGAAAAGACAAAATTTTTTTTCCAATTTTTTTAAAGTGAAATTTTTTTTTAATTTTAGAATTATGTATCCCGCCAATTGATTCATGCATTGTCTCCAACTTTACGCAAGTGTGCAAAATTTCAGATCGATGGGAAAAGTAGAAGTGTGTTAAATTTTAATAAGCTAAGATTTGTAGCAGGTTTGTTTAAGATTTGTAGCAGACAGACAAACAAACAAACAAACAACAAGAAGTGAAGTTAAAGAGAAGTGTTGTAAAAAGATCATTGATATCTAGGATAACTAAATCCTACAGAAACTATATTATGTAGAAGCTTTTGTCATGACATTGGTAAAATTTTCAATGATTTATTTAATTACTTAATTTTAATTTTTAGTTTGCTCTAGGGTTGGCTTTAGGACCGTACTATCAAAGGTCGTTCAAGAATTTATAAACACACGTAGTGGTGATTTCCAGTCTGTGATTGGTGGATTTTTCTTGAAAAGATGTCAGTGATTAGCTGACAGACTTAGAACTTGTAACTCCGTCAGTGATTAGCTGAGGGATAGTGAGTTGTAACTAAAAATATTTACGAGCTCGTGACTATTTGTTAATAGTATGGCCCCTGAGCGCAGTTTGCTAACATGGTGACGGCCGTGTAGACGACTCGGCCCGAGGCGTGAAGTTGGTCGTTGAGTTCCTTGTTGGGCGTCCTGCTGCCGAGCTCAGGACCGGCGGACGAGGCTGGTGTTGGGGGCTGCTGCAGCTTTATTTCCTGCAGCAGCCGACGCAAGTTGAACAAATCTACAAGCAAGTTATAATATTCATTTATACATAATGCATATTATAAGAATAAATTAAAGACTAAATAGAATAACGTCATAATGTGTACAATTGATCCTGCAACATATTGAGTATATAAACCTAAATATATACCAACATTGTCATTAACAGGGTTTGTACCGTAATTTAGAAAAAAATTCCATGACTTTTCCATGACTCTACATGGCCATCAATATAATTTTCCAAGACTCATACGACAGGTTTAGCTCGACTGAAAGACTAACTGTGCATTATCTATCATCTCCTACAATTGATAAATAGCAAACGTGTAAATGCATAGCTCTTCATGGCTTTTCAAAGGTGGTATGGCTCTTCAAAGCTGCTTCCCGCATATATGAGTTTGACACAACGAAGTTGTTCGAGCACAATGTACATATCGCCACACCTTCATGCTTTGGATGGCGAGCAAGCCAGTCACGATAAGCTTCTACGTATTTTTAACCACAAGTCATGAAATTTACACTTCCCAGTCATGGTGACGTAGAAATTGCACGCTGAAGATGGAAACTTTTTGATCCTGCGGATCAAAAAGTTGCCAAATGCAACTGAACTCGGTGACCAAACTCACGTGATTGGTTCTCCAATCAGAACCCATGAAACAAGAGACTGCACAAACAGTAAGCACACGCAGCACAGAAAAACACTTCCTTTTTTATTTCATTTGCAAATTTCATGACTTTCCATAACCTGACATGAAATTCAATGACTTTCCAGGTTTTCAATGACCGGTACGAACCCTGCATTAACATCAATGGTGCATTAGCGAGAGAAATTTCAAAAGTGTCATAGATAACGTAACAATTAAGGATATAGATATAGAATTTAATGCTGCAAGTGATGTGATGATGTCTGGTTGAACAATAAGGGAATAGAACGGATTTACTGAGATTAGAATTTTCAGGAATGAAAGATCAGAATTATCACAGTAAGTACTAAGTATCAACCTAATCGAATAGGTTACTGCATGTCCACATGACATGAGCTACCCTCTATGACGGCAGATCCGGTCCATATGTAACTAGAAGCTAGATTGCACAAATAATGCACGTAGGGTATATATTATTATTTCTCACTTTTCCTTTGCCTTTGAGATTCTTCACGCTTCAATTTTTCCTTCTCGATGGCCTCAAGGGAGCCCCACCTTTCAAGGGCTCTGAAATGTTAGAAAAAAGAAAATTATCTTAAACAATATAACACTTACATGCTCTTTGATATTCAAAACTTTCACATATGAAGCATTGATTTTATGACACCATTTTAAAAATATTCCCGATACCGTAACACTTGATTTGTCTAGCAATTGGACAAGAAAAATAGTAAATTATTTTCATCTTCATTTATGCGGTATATATAAACCTAACAGAATGGGAATACTTAGTTCTGTTAATTCACCACTGTTAACACATACTTTTTCTCAACATCTTTCATCCAGTACACAGTAATACGAGGCTGGTTGTCAAAGGGCGACCTCCTCTTAGTGTTCCTTATCCCTTGCAAGTCTGCTGGTGTGAGCAGGAACTCTGACATGGCTCTTACAGCTGTTATAAAGTTGCGTTCTGTTGACACCAGGCTCTGCTTCTCCTTTGGTCGAGGCATCACTGTTGAAAAATTTTATAAGGTTTACTTTTTAAATTTATTACAAAAAATTACAAATCACATTACATTGAAGAAAAATTAATACCTAGGAAATTGCATTCCAGATGTTACAAGCTGTAAAAAGGAAAGATGAAAATGTATAGCAAGAAGTTAAATTGTTCTACAAATTTATGAAGGAAAACTCCTGGCATGCCATCATGCCACAAGCAAAATTTATCTACCATACTAGTAGAGACCAGGGACAACAAAAGCGAGCTTTAAAAAGGTAAAGGAGATGTTATATTAAAAGCCTCATGTACTAGTAGACACCAACCTCGCTTAATGACAGCATCCTTTAGTCTTGCTGCAGTTGACACTGGACTAGGCACCTCATCACTTAATTTTGTTCCATCAATGCTGCCACTCTCTGCTATTGAAACACGGGGTGATTCGGCATCAATTGAAGGTTCTAACTGAGATGATTGAGTTTCTGGTATTGGATTTGTATTCCCATTGTTTGGTAGTAGATTTGTATCTGAGGATTTATTAGTATTAATAACTTTGCTGGTCCAAATACTGCGGCGAGTATCATATGAGGGACAAGAAACTCCATGTGATCTGGTGAAGTGGTAATTGCAGAGGCTCGGAGAGATGATGGGTCTTGGAATAACATTAGATTGTGAAGCCATGAACCTGTGACAACATCTGACTTGAAGGAGAGGTAGAGGCAGTCCTGAAACACAATAGGAAAATGTATATAATTTTTTTAAGAACTCAATAGATATGAAAACTTCAAGAATATTTCAATTGATTAAACTATCACATTATTCAAAAACAAAAGACCAATATTTACAACAAAATTTCTGACTACCTAATTACAAGTAAGAATATTCTGACGTTACGCAGATAATTGTTTAATTTCATGTCATGAACATATTACTCAAGATGATTCAAGCTAGAATTTCAACTATAAATACTATCAAAAATAAATGAACAATCTCCAACTCACTGGATGTCTGGGGAAGCTGATCCAAGAATTGTGAATTCAACCCAGAACATAAATAAATTTTATGCCCTCTGCTCTGTAGTTTCAGAAGAGCTACAACTGCACTTGATCCCAGCAGTGTTGCTTGTGGCATTCTGAGCATTAGTGTTCAGGCCTGAAAATGAAGAGAAAATTTAGATAGGTATCAGTCATACACTAAAATATACTAATGTGCAGTTGAAATTCCCTGTCATTGTTAGGGATCAAAATTGCCAAATGTGAAGCACTTCTCCCACAATTTGTCCATCAAGCAAATATTTATGATCTTGAAATAATGTCAAATAGGGTAATAAGGGATGGTTTCGAGCATTTTTAATAGTAACTTCTTACCATGAAACATTTTATAAATGAGTTTGGGCTCATATTAAAGTTCTTTGTAAGCACAATTGTATGGCAGCTCTGAAAAATTCCAAATGCTATTTATTTAAGGTGCCAGATGCAAAATAAAAGCATCCCGATTTACCACTAGGAACAGGGTAATAAGTGACACTTATAATAAAACATAATTTTAAAACGTTTGAAGCATGCAGAGTGTACTCATCCAATACTAACAGTACTCTGAAGTCCTCTACCTGTGTAGATGAGGTAGATGTAGAATAAATGAAATTTTCTGTGATTTTTATGTGTTTTTCCTTTATCGATATGATATTACCATATTTATGGACATGCTATTGAGCAGCGACAACAACCTTGTCAACTGCAAGCTTCATATCAGAAGCCATCTAGCATTTCTTCTGTATTTGTAAGTTTATAGGACAGGGCTAGTAATTTTGCACCTTTTTAATTGGGTCAAGTGAATTAACTATCCTACAAATTCACTATCCTACACAACCATCCTATTCTTTGGAGAAATGAATAATAGTTTAGGTCAGTGATTCCCAAACTTTTTCAGGCTGGCACCCCCTTTGGCTCCCTAGTGAATTTCTAGCGCCCCCCTCAGACACATATAAAATCATGCTACTCTTTCTATAAAATTTAGTACGCTGCAATTTTAAAAGATAAAGGTTAAACACGAATGTGTATTTCACAAATAGAACCCATTTTAGTGAACCAATATATTTTTCAGCTGTTTTAACTGTTTCAGCACTAGAAATCTAGCACGTATCAGGCAAATTTACGGCCCGGACTCGTGGCCAGTCTCACGACCAATCTCCAAATTCAATTATCAAGTAATATCACCACAACTAATGAACTCAGCTCAATAAAACCTGGAACATGTATTCATCAGATCTTAACGGTGATGTTTAGCTTGCGAAAATTTTTTCAATATCACCTTCATTCGTGAGTTAGATTGCGATACAGGCCGAAATTCGCAGTGATCAAAGAATTTCTTCCAAACTACCTAACAGATTTGAACGAAATTTTGAATATACATTCCTAACTACCAAATGGTGTTTTTTAGATTCAAAATTTTTTTTTATTTTACCGTCGTTTGCGAGATTCATTTCATTTCACCGTCATTCTTGATTTCACTCTTCTTTATTCGCTTTAGTTCGCAAGTTATACAAATATAGGTAGGAGGAACGATGGATCAGCTTTTCTATCGGCTGGTTTAGCCAAGAGCCGTTTACTTATAGCCGTATAACTCGCAAACGAGGGCAAAACGAAAAAATTGTAACGAACTAAACATCACCGTTGCCGAGGTTAGGTATTAAAATACTAAATTTCGTTCAAGTCTGTTCAGTAGTTTGGAAGAAATTTCTTGATAAATGCGAATTTAAGCACGTATTGCTGTTTAAATCACGAATGAAACTCGCAAACGAAGGCACAATCGAAAAAATTTTCAGGAGCTAAACATCACCGTTCGGTAGTTAGGACTGTAAATTCAAAATTTCGTTCGAATCTGTTCAGTAGTTTGGAAGAAATTCCTTGATCGATGTGAATTTCGGCCCGTATTGCCATATAACTATGGCAAAAACAATTGAAGGCAAAATTCAAAAAATTTTCACGAGCTTTAAATTACCATAAGGTCCTAATGAATATATATATATATATGTTCCAGTTTCATCGAGTTAAGTTCATTAGTTTGAGAGATATTCCTTGATCATTGAATTTGGAAATTGGCCGTGAGACCGGCCGTTAATTGGTCGGAGTCGTGAACTTAGGAGAGGTTAAAAAATATAACACAGTACCAGAGCTGGGCAGCGCTACTTGGAAATGTAGCGGCGCTACCGCTACCGCTACATGCTCTAAATGTAGCGGGCGCTACCGCTACCGCTACACCCACTAGATTGTAACGGGCGCTACCGCTACCGCTACAGTAAAATGTAGCGCGCTACATTAGCCGCTACAATGGCCAAAATTATTGGAAATCTCTAAATAATTATTTTCTGCTTGTGGGATTTACTCATTAACATTTAATGATAATATAACATTTTAAAACATATCAATGCAACTTTATTGCAATTAACCTAACCGAACTAGTATGGGTTACCCCAGGGTTAGATACAGTAAATAAAAGTTACAGTTATTTTTATGTTTTACCTTCCCTACATGGATGT